AGCTACTGGTACGTTCAGAAATAGATTATCTAGATAGATGCAGAGTTTCAGCTTTGGCAGTTATGTAGCAAGGCGTAAAACGAGTGCGTACGTAGGCGCAAGAAGAGCGCTCTTTTCAGTATCTGAATCTGCGTCTGCGCCCTGTTGCTGTAGCCACTGTGTTTGTTGACCTTTTGTGAATGTTTTAATGCCATCAACTGTTGAACGAAATAGCCAGCTCTAGATATATCCATAGTCGCTAATACACCATAGCTTGTAACCGTCAGTAATTGGCTTATTCTTGAGCTTAACCGTATGATTCGAACGCCCCTCAAAAGCCACCATTGCTTCGTCAATTGTAATATGAGAGGAGGGTATATAAGCATTTCGGCAGGCTATTCGAATAAGGTCTGCAACGTGTTGGATTCGATAGAACCAAGGCGCATTTGGCTATGCAGGAGCAGAATTCATACTGAAATAACGATGGATTTGCTGAAATTGATTTCGACCCATAAATTGACCCAGTTTGTGCATCTTCCAATAATCACTGCGTACGGCCAATTAATATAAGCCAAAATGAAGATGTATGCCTAGATATACACGTATTTCAGCAGGTGTAGTAGGTATCCAACGCCCTTCAGGATAAATATGGATTTTGGCGTACAAATTGGTTTCTTCAGAGAGGATTTCCACCACAATTGGGCTAAAGAAGAGCTCAAAAAAGCCTAATTCTGATAGATTAGAGTATTGAGAAGCTCCTGTTCGATTTAGAACGTAATTAGCCTCAAATTGAGGCAGTTCTGTTGGTATGAATGTAGGCAGTTCATCTGTACATTCTGGCGCTGGAGCGATCACTGCCAAGGCCTGATCGACATCATTTCGATCGATTGCAGACGGGTCAATTCTGCTTCGTTTCGACCGTTTAGTAACTTGTTCGAATCGCGGAGGTGAGCTCGATCTATATCTCAGAGGGATCTGGGTATTTCGCTGTGGTCGTAGCATATTTCGTGGTTGAAATCTCAAGAGCAAAGTCAGCTGCGGAGCGTTGTGTAGATCGAATGCGGCTTAAAAACCTTAATTTGAAAATTTTACGCTAATTGGCACATTGGGTACGGAGGGGATAGGCAGTTCTTGGAGGGACTGGCCTGACCGCAAAGCAGTAAAGCGTAGGCGCCTCTCAGATCAGGCAAAATCTCGGCATGGCAAAATTCTTTCTAATGACAATCCTTTGTTCTCATTGTGACACAGGTGTTTTTGTGAAGCCTTAACTAGAGAGTTCATTGGATGGGTACAGTGCGTGGAGCTAAACTTACAACCGTAAGCGCTGTTCATTGTTGACACATCTCAATATCTCTAAGAAATTCCATGCACATTGAACAGGACTTCGATTTCGCACATCACTGTACAGAGGCGTGCCCCAAAAGTTGTTGCAACACGCTAATATTTAAAGACATGAGCCAGTATTTAAGGACCGAGCTAAGCCACTTAGTCCAAAATATGTAGCCGAGACTTACGGGTGCACTTGGATTAGCCTCGGCGATACGACCCCTGTAGTATAGGGGACCCAATACTGAAAGAGGAACCCAATGAGCACTTAGGCTTCGGTAGCTCACACTGGCTTTTTTAGAGATGGTACACCTACACCATTAGTAGACCGTCTAAGCTAAATTATACTAGTCATTCCTAGTAGAGCCCCATACTAGCGTAATGCAACAACTTTTGGGGCACGCCTCTGTAGACATTTTCATTCTGCACACATGCCAGCTCTTCACTCACCCTCCCACAAGATAGTATGTCGTCAATATCAATGCTCCTGCAACCTGACGGGGCACATCTGCAGGACCGTATTCTTGGTCTGGGCAGGACTGGGGTTACGGTTCAGAGAGAAGGCATTGCCCTCAAATTGCCCTTGAAGCGCTGCACAATAGGACCGCATATGGAGCAGAATGAAATCGAGTTCGATATTGCAGTCGAGGCGATAGAGAACGAGAAAAGAGTTTACCAACGTCTGGGTAAACACCATAGCATTGTCGATTGTCTTGATATATCTGGTGTTGGCATCCAGTTGGCTCTGATGGAACATGGGAATTTACAGGACTACCTCACACAAAACCAGCCTTCAGCGTCAATCCTGCTAGGCTGGTTCCGGGACATGGCTCAAGCTCTCGTGCACATACACGACAGGCGCGTCATTGTTGCTGACATCGCCACTCGAAATTTCCTTGTGGACGTTAATCGATCTGTCAAGATGTCAGATTTTTCGGAATCATCTATCTTGCCTCTCTCTACCGACATGCAGACCGCTGACGATTCTGGCTACTCTATCTACACTGATATCGGCCAGCTGGGTACGGTGATATATGAAGCTGTCACAAGACAGCCCTGCAGCTTTGATCTATTCAAAGGTCAGCCCCCTGGGCCTGCCACTGCTACCTGGCCCCAAAGAACAGACCTCCCGACTACGGACAACATATGGCTTGGTTCTATCATTGAAAGATGTTGGACGAAAGGAGCGCTACGCGATGCGCGCGAGTTATCAGCAGTCTTAGATTCTTTTAGTATGGATTGAGTGGCTGCGCTGTCCTTTCTTTCATCCAGGCCTTAATAGTCTGTTGGGTCTTGGTCGCGATTGTAATCACATCTTGTGTTTGCTTGATATTGAATCAGCCCCCAACTTGAACCCCTTGTGGCTTGGCTCCCAAAGTGCCACTTCCTCCAGCTCCACCGGGTCCATGACCACCATCGTCGCTTCGTGGTTTGGGTTTTCGATGATTTGGACAGTCGGTCTTTCGCCTAGTTGAACTCGCCTGGGAAGTGGGCGTTGGATTCGAGCACTGAGTCCCACTGGCAATTGCGTTGGGGCATCTCTCAGTGAAATCGTGATCAGGATCATGAGTGCTACAGGCTCCAGATCCTCCCTTACAATCTGGCCAGCGTGCTGGAGTCTTGACTCGTTGCCAGCACATTGTATTTTACTTGTTCTTTGAAAGAGGGTGGGACAAAGACGTCAGTCTGTTAGGCCTTTGAAAAAGGGGGCATAGGTTAAGATTAAGCACAAAGCGCAAGTAGAGAAGAAAGGATTGAGAATAGGCAGAAAGTCCAAGCTAGGCACTACTAGTATTAGTACAATAAACATTCTAGGCAATCATCAAGAAGGACAGATTCGAAAACCCGAGCGCGTATTCGACACCTCTTACTGGAAGAAAATGCAACAACCCTAGTACAGTAGGGGGCGGAAGTATCCCTGACACAGGGTTAGAAGCACCTTGTAAAGTTACAGCGCCACGTTTCGGCTTCTTGTCATCATGGGGGAGAGTGTCTATGAACCCCCAATTAGATTATTTTGTCCGCTTGCTCGGTACAGTGATGTGCGAAATCGAAGTCCTGTCGAAATAGCGCATATAGTTTCTGGAATAAGTGGGGTGGATCCACTACAATATACACTTTCCGATCTCTGGTTAGACTGAGCCCCACAGCAGCATTCAATCATCATCGAGAGATTATGCATCATAAATACTACGTACATCGTGTTTTGATACAACCGGCAAAGTGTCATTTGAACTGGAGGGGAAAAGGGGTCCTTTGTGTCCGGAGCCGCCTCATTCCCGAGCTCAGCCCGGGAGACCCCTAAAATGTGCAGCTTGCCGTTAGACCCACCCCATCTAAATCTTGGTATATCACTCAAGTTCCCCTTATCCTAAAGTTAGGCGGCACACTTTTCTATGGCTGGACCTCGACGTTCTTAGCGGCACACTTTTCTATGGCTGAACCTCGACGTTCTTAATATTGAATTGCTTGTCTAAGTTAAGACGAAATTTGTCTAGTTGTTTGCGCAACTTCTTAGAACATCTGATTCTCACTCATATGGACAATCTGCACGCTATACAAATTGATGCCGTGGAGACTGTGCCATCGAAAGCAGTGTACATTCTAGATGTGCTAATCTAGAGATAGTTGGCATGCCGACTTATTTACAGATGGAGCTTCTGCACTCGAATCTTTCAGGAATTCTATTGCGATCTCGCCGCCTCGCCGCCTCATCGCTGACATTGCAACAGAGAAGAAAATGGCAGGCACTGTCTGTCGTC